GCTCTCAAGCCACAGTAATGAATCACAGCAGTTTCAAATGCTTTCAGCACTAATTCCATCTTCATTTTTTAAAAAAAGCCTCACCCTTCCACTATATGCCCCAGACATGTCTGAGGCATCTCATGCCTACCCCAGCCCAGGTCTGAGTCTGTCCATGCAAAAGATGGTTGACATTTAGCCAGGAACTTTTAAAACACTTGAGAATAAATTATGACCCAAACTTACTCTTCTCAATGACAGGTATAAAGTTCAACTCTTTAATAAAAGGATTCAGGAATAAGAAAACAAAGCTTCCCAGCAATATGAAGGAAATCGAGGTCCTTCGATATTAAGGAAATAAGGTCAGTTCTTGTTTCTATTAAATTGTGCATTTTGAATCTAGTTAGTATAAAGTAAAACTCTTAAAAAAACATGTAGGAATTTAAAATAAAGTAGAACATCCTATTTTCAGGGTCATGGTGCCATGGTGAGATTTGTCTCTTAAACAATGACACTTAGTATCTCTGTAGTTCCATGAATACTTTTGAAGTGTCATATTAAAACCAATCTCGTGGCCTTGAGGCAAAGAGAAGCAATTAGTCTTGGAGTTGTGAATAAATAAAAATCCATTTATACACCCGTCCTTGACATGTACCTTGCAAATCTTAGAAACTTCATCTAGTGGGAAAAGAAATGTTAAATCATGAATACCAATACTAATCACATTGCCATGTGGCTTCCTAAAACAGTTTGAGTTTATACCAATCTTTTAAGTATTAATTTATATGTATATATTCATCCATATTGAACAAAAAAAAAAAAACACAAAGACACTGTCACCGGCGCTTCGGTGGAGAGGAAAGAAGGACGTTGAGGGCCACAAGAAGCCGGGGTTAATTGGGGGGGCGGGGTGCTCCCTAATACCAGCCTGATGCATTTTCTCCCCAAGCCCTCCAACCAAAGGAGTCACTTTCTGTCCTTAAACTTCAGGCTTTCCCTCCATGCCCTCCTCCATCTGTGACCCCAGTCAGCATTTACAGGAAGGCTCAGGAGGTCTAAGTGGTTGGCTGCTTGGCTCACTTTTATGTTGAGTCCATTCCTTCAATGCCAGTGGGGGTGAGGCTGGGGGCCTCTCTGTTCCTAGGTCTTGCGCAGCCCAGGGGAGAGCTGGACAGAGCGTGTGGAGTGGGTCCGGCCTGGCCAGTGCGGAGTGGTGCTGTCTGGCCGGGCCTGGAAGCCAAAAGCCCCGGGGCAGTCAGGGTGTGGGGATCCCAGTGGACAGTCCGCAGGCTGAGGCAGAGGCGCTGCACAGATCCCTGACCTACTTCTAGGGCCCTTTCTGTTCGAAGAGAAGTTACTATTCCATAAATTAAGGAAATTAACTGATGGGGCCTGCGGCATCTTTGTAAGCTATTTAAATCTATAAATTTACAACATCTTCTGCATATATCAAGTAATTGAACTAACTGCAGGGATGTAACTTTAATGAGAAAATTTCCCCCTTCGCCTGTAGTTCCAGCTCCACAATAAATAAATAAATAAACCCTTCCCTTAGGACGAAAGTTTCGGCTTATTCCCGCGTAAAGAAGTTACAGGAGCGCGGTCCGCACCAAGATGCCCCTAGTCCAGGGAAGCCTCCTCCTCCTTCTGGCACCAGCAACCCCCGCCCCGCCCCGGGTCCAACCGGAGCGCCCCCAGTGAGCGAGGCCGCTAGAGGGCGCCCAGGTCGGGCAGGAGCCCGGGCGAGGGCTCCGCGCCGCTCCCGGCTGGAGCGCACCCGCCCGGGAGCCGGATCCTGGCTCTGTCCCCCACGTCCCTGGTGCCGGACGGGGGCGCAGTGCAGGCCAGGAGCGCTGGAGGATCGGGGCTCTGTTTCCTAGGAGCTGGGAAATGGTCGTGGAGGAGGGACGGGCGGGGCGCCAGGGAAAGAGGAGAATGAGGAAGGGGAGGAGAAGGCCGGAGAGAAGGAAGGGGCAGCCCCCTCGAGCACCACGGAGGAAGCCCCG